AAAAAATAAAGATTAAATGTCAATTTTGGTTCCTCAACTTTAAGATTTTATATAATTTTATCCCTTAACTTTTTCATATATTACTTTAATCCCTCAGCTATGAAACATACACTTTTTTAGTCTTTCTGTCAATTAATCTATTAAATTTGTCTAAATATGCATATTTGTAGTCTCTTAACTTTTAATATATGTATATTTTTATCCCTCAACTTTAAGTTAAGAAACTAAAAATATGCATATTTAGATAAACTTAATAGATTAACTGATAAAAAAAAACTAAAAAGATGCATTTTTTATAGTTGAGAGGCTAAAAAAGTGTACAAAAAAGTTAAGAGACAAAAATTATGTAAAAATTTAAAGTTAAGAGACCAAAATTGACATTTAACCAAAAATAAAAACTACTAAAAAGCTCCACCAAATGTATGGACACTTAGGAACGGTGCACTACAGCACCGAAAAATCTTTTATTGGCGGTTAAAAGTATGATTAAATTCAAATGAGGCAAGGTGTGGTTCTTGTTACTGTAAAAAAAAAGGTGGAACCCTTATTTGCACCCTCTTTTTTTGTTTTGGTCAATATCTTAAATTAATTTTCACTTTAATCAACGCTCTATATAATTTAAAACCTATAAAAAAAACCTCCAAATTACTAATAAAGTTATAGTACAAATAGGAAATTTAACCATAAATTCAAAATACAAATAGAGGATTTGACTTTTAATTTTTAAGTTTTTCACATATTTTGAGTAGAAAAATGTGTTAACTAGGATGAAAATTAATTTAGGATATTAATTGTGGAAAGAAAAAATGTGTAGGGTGTAAATAGGGCCTTTGGCCCTATAAAAAATGTCAAACTTATTAGTTTTTTAATTTTTTAAAATAATATCTAAATATATTAGTTTGTTGATTAATTTTAATTTATTAATTACTAATACCAATTGTCCTATTCATTATTAATTATTTTTATCAATCAAATTAAATAAAAATTAATATTTTTAAGATAATATTTTATCATTTTTTGTGGCCTTAACATTCTAGACAG